TTGCATTTTGAATATGCCTGGAGATTTCAGCTGATAAATACGGCATAAATAGAAGGAGTTGGAGATTTGTAAAGGAAAGGCTAAGAAATAGTCCACTTCAAAATGTAAAATTCACTCTCAAGTTGCTCCAAACCCTTAACCACCGAACAACATACAGTAGTGGTGAAGTGGTGGAGTAAAAATGATTAAATGATTCATTCATAAAGATGGTCACTTGTTTCATTCCTGAATAAATGTTTGAGCTAATCGGCTGAATGAATGATTCAATGACTCACTTATAAAAACAGTCATTTGTTTTGTTTTCTGAATGAATCAGCGTTTTGAGCAAATCGTTTCACTCATAAAGACAGTCATTTGTCGCCACCTACTGGTGCATCGATGTAACCTACAGCATAGAATGAGTAGCTGAGAAAAAAAGAGCCATACAGTTTTGAAACAACATTAGGGTGAGTAAATGATGACAAAAATATCTTTATTTTTGGGTGAACTACTGTTTGAAAAGAGATTTGTGAAGCTGTTTATGGAAATGACTCTTTCGCTGCATGAGCTGTTTGTGATTCAAATCTTATTTAGAGGTTTGTTGCACACAATTACAGAAGGGCATTATGTAGTTTTGTCATTTATTGCAAAGATGTACCACACTTTGGCATTTTAGAGCCACATGATGAGTTACCTGTAGAAGATGACAAAATTTGGAGTGTCATTTTGTTGCTTATTTTGTTTCATCCTCATCTTCTTTTGCTCCTTCACAATGGGCATTTTTTTCAGGACTATCTTTTCTGCTCCTCTCAGCACTCCTCCTCTGCAGGAGACAAACAGCACAACAAAAAAACCTTCTGCCTCCCGCTACCCCTCTCATCTCATCCTTTTCTCCCTCTCATCCTGGCATTTTGTCATAAGCTGCAGTCGGAATCAAATCCTCCGATCTGCATCAGAAAGGAGGGCAGACAGAAGATGATGTGTGTAACAGAACCATTTTGGATACAACAGGTGCTCAGCAGTCACACTCAAAGCTTTCTTTGTCCCTTGCCGAAGACATGTTTACCATCCAGAAAAGTTTGGAAACTCTTAACTAGATTTTAATTTTTTTCTGTTTTATATGTAAGCGGTACTTTTCTGTACAAAACTCACCAAATTCATAATCGGGTGTTGTGATTGGTCGCCAAGGTGTTGCTATGCAGTTGCTGAGGTCTTCTGAATTGTTCATAACATGTTTCTTTGCATTTGCATAATGTTATTGGTGATTACTTACTCGCCCAGGTCAAAATCCATTCATGTGGTGCTGAGTAAGTTAAATGCTTAAGTCATATTTGAGTATGTAGTTTATTGAAATGCTTAAGTCGTATTTGAGTATGTAGTTTATTCAAATCTCTAACACTGAGTCTGAGCAATAAAAATAGTGCTGCTTGTCTTAGAAAGCAGTCGAGGCCATTTCTGTGGGCTTTTTCAACAAGCAGTGTGAAACCGAATCTATCATTCACAGTTTCTCTGATGTGATAAATGAAATCTGTCATGACTTTATCCATTGGGAGATTTCATCCAGGACCCTTATGCTACCAATTTTGAACTTTAGCTCATAATGATATTGTGCTATTTCAGTGAAAAATGGTTAAAGAATACTTGCACATTGTTCAGTCAATGAAGTAATTATTTATGAGCTCTTCGGGGTGAGAAATGTTATGCACTTCAATACAAAGTTGTTCATTGAGCAAATCGTGAATTATTGAACATTCAATTTTCCAGCCAGCTATATAAAGCAGTACAACATCTGAAGAACAGTATAGAAACTTGTTGTAAAATATGGTCATGTACCACGTTTCACTGATTTTTTTTCTTCAGATTTTTAGTTTGAAGAGAGAGACAGGGAGTCTCTTGATAATGTGATTTTGGGCATTCAGAAAGCACCTGTAGAGATGTGGCTCTTCAGTGACACCATCCTCGGTAGACAATAACCTGCTGCAATATGACCTTCAGGCTCCTGAACACAATCTGTGGTTAGCTGTGTTCCAGAACCTAGTGAGTTGCCTTGCTGACTACACAAGTAGACGTTCAATGAGTTTACTGTACACAATCGTACATAATACATTTTATACTGTCAAATGGTCATGTATTTATTTTATTTATTCACTTTTTAATGCCATGCCAGCATCAAGGCTATTTTCATGGCGATCTCTGAATAAATTATACAAGGTATACAATTAATAAAAGGTTATAAAAGACATTTCAGATGTACACTACAAATGGTAATATAAAACTAAATGATGATACAAATGCACAAGTGGTAATCAGTAACTTTTTTTAACTGAGCATGCAGAGTGCTAAGATATTTTTACACTTATGTGTGTTTTTAACATAAACTTGACAGTTTAGGTGCAATACGACATGAAAGAGAACATAGTTTAGTACTCACATGGCAGGATGTGACAGCCGCTTTCTGTGCGCATGCTTCAGATGTGTTCGCTCAGAAAACCGTATATCAGAAGTTTAAATGGATATGGCATGATAGACATGATAATCAAAACCAAAGAGATGTTTCTTTTTTTTTTTTTAGCAGAGTATCTTCCCTATTCTGGAAAAGGGGGTTGGAAACAGCAGCTCATTTGCATTTAAAGAGACATGCACAAAACCAGCCTGTTTCTGCTTCCACTCAAAATGGGCATTTTCAAAATGATATAATAAATAATCTGTGGGGTATTGTGTGAAAGTTCACAGACATATTCTGGGGACACCTGAGACTTATATTAGACTTATACCCTTTAATATGAAACAACTAGAATGCATAGAGAAAAGCAAAAATCCTCTGATATGTGTTTGGCCTGATGCCTCCTGACTCTTTGACTTTATCAGCAACTCTTGCATGTCTGGCTCCTCTCATCCCCCATTCCCTCCTTTATCAGTCAATTCTCCTCAGAGGTGGTCAGACTCACCAGCAAACACTCGATCTATCTATACACCACTGCTGCTTCTCCTGCCTGACAGTGATAGAGCCCCAGGACGATCTGTGAGCGACGGCTGGAGGAGGAGCTGAAAAATTGAAAAACAGTGAATATTTAGAGAGCTGGTCAACAAGAGAAGGAAAGCAAACAGTAAACTAGATTTGTGACATTATCTGAGGAAAATGTAGTTACTAGAGTATTTGTTGCTAATGTGTTCTGAGTTTATTTTAGTGTGTTGCTATGTAGTTGCTAGGATGTTCTGTATCATATTTCTCTGGAACCTTCTGGTCACTAGATGATGTGCGGTCCTCCATTTTTTTTAACAGATTTTAATAGTAATGCTTGCCTTAGCAAGCACTCATAACTAAAACAGAAAGATATATAGAGAGAGACAGGGAGCGCAGGAAAGAAGCGCTAATTGCATTTTCCTCTCACTCTGAATGTCTGATAGAATTAAATGAAGCTGGGCAGCTGTCACCTGTTGGCTGATTTATGGATGGATATTGCAAACGTGGTTTGATGCTTGTCATTCAATTTACATCTGACAGAGTACTGCCTCTGTAAAAACAATTCTACACACTTAAACTCATTCTATGTCCGTTGCTTCTCAAATCCGAATGCCAGCCCCCTCAAAGCTGCATTTTCATGCCTTATTAAACACACTGTGCTAACTAGAGGAATAACTCATCAAGAGCATTTGGAATGGCAGAAAGGAAGAGGAAATAAGAACTGGAATGACTCATGATTCAGTCTGATTTGTGAAGTCGCAAGTGAAAGATATAATGGCTGTGAGGTGATTGTGTATGGGAAAAACAATGGGCATGTCTCAACAGTTTCTCCCTGACATTAATAAGACTGAAGTGAGCCAATAGAGACATATGTTTAACTCTTTCCCTGCCAGCATGATAATTTTCACAAAAATTTCATGGCCCTTCGAATATGTTGTATGAATATCTGAACATGCATTATGTTAAAAGAAAGAGCAGAGCCTCTGCTTTTAAACATACAAACAGTTTTATTCTAGCTTCATGCATTCTTTTTTATTAACTCTTGAATTTGGGTAAGTTTCATTAAAAAGCAACATTTTGAACAAAAGCTGAGAATTATTATTATTTTTTTTTTCAAAGATTACGTCTAATCGGTCAATGGTGGGGAAAGAGTTAAGTTACAATATGTTGTAATTGTTTTTGGAAAATAATCACACATACGCATGCATCCATCCATCCATACCATCCATATATTTTTGACAGTGTCCTTCAAGCACAAACCCACAAGATGTCTTATTTAGTTTTTGCTCTCTTTGCTCTCTAATCAAAGAAGACAGGAAATTACCCTTCACCTAAAGCCACTTCTGTTTCGTAAACAACACTATCTGTTCTGTGTTGCTCGTGATGGAGGGCTCTCTAATACATGTGTGTCTTTGTGTAAAGCTGTCTGTCAGCCAGTGAGTGTTACACACGTGTGTGTTTGTGTTTGTGGGGCTTCTGGATTGAAGCTCCTATCTCTGGTGTGCAGCTGTGAAGCAGGTCGTTGGGACACATCTCCAGCCTGTAAATATAGAACACACACACATACACACAAGCACTGCCAAACCAGATTAACACCCAAATAAATCACCTTCAGAGATGCTCTGCTGAACATAAAGTAGAGGATCAGGCTAAAAAAAACCCTCTCTGTACTGTCCTCACCATCTTGGTTCTCTCTTAGTTAGTAGTGCCTTTTGATAAGTTAAGTTTGGTTACTCTGGGATGTTTCACTTTTGACAGACATCTGTTAGATGTTTGAATTTTTGCAATCTCTTTAAAGAAACTAAAATGTAAGTGCTGTTTTCAGCAGTCACCAGATTTGTGGCAAAAATGTGGCAAATACTAAAAAAAACTAACTAAACAAAAAGAGATAATATTTTGGTAATTCCTATTACTACGTATGTTTTAATATCCCTACGATATATTTATATGAGATAAAATAGGCTTATATATTTAAATGTAATGTAAATACCTTTAGACTTTAAAAGACCTTTAATGACATCACCCTCCAGGAAGTGACGTCATTTTGAAGGGAAATCAACAGCATAAACATGAGTAAGTATTAGCGATGCATTTTTTCATTCTCATTCCCTCAGCGAGCAGTAGTTCATTTCATAACTTGAGCTCTTTATTTATTCAAGTATAATGTAAGCTCAACTGAAATCAAGTTACAATTAATAAACTTTAAAGGCTATAAGAACATCCCAGAAGTCTCAAAAAAAGTGGTTGTATTCATCCCTCAACATGTGGGTTCTTTTGTGCTGCGTGTTTGGCAAATGCGTTACTTATTTGCCACGCTCATGGCATGCTTCTCGTTTTCCCGTTCATTGTTTTCTTTCACAAATCCGGCATGAATTTAAAGCCTGTGTAAATGCTGCATCTTGTGTTTGTGAGTTAAGAAATGTTTCTGAGGAATTTTCAGCACCAGTCTCTGATGTAATTACAAGTCGCCAGCCACCACTAACATTTTGATAATTTTCACAAAAATTTCATGGCCCTTCGAATATGTTGTATGAATATCTGAACATGCATTATGTTAAAAGAAAGAGCAGAGCCTCTGCTTTTAAACATACAAACAGTTTTATTCTAGCTTCATGCATTCTTTTTTATTAACTCTTGAATTTGGGTAAGTTTCATTAAAAAGCAACATTTTGAACAAAAGCTGAGAATTATTATTATTTTTTTTTTCAAAGATTACGTCTAATCGGTCAATGGTGGGGAAAGAGTTAAGTTACAATATGTTGTAATTGTTTTTGGAAAATAATCACACATACGCATGCATCCATCCATCCATATTTTGTCTGAATTTTTGACAGTGTCCTTCAAGCACAAACCCACAAGATGTCTTATTTAGTTTTTGCTCTCTTCCATGACCAATCAAAGAAGACAGAAAATTACCCTTCACCTAAAGCCACTTCTGTTTTCGTAAACAACACTATCTGTCCTGTGTTGCTCGTGATGGAGTGCTCTCTAATACATGTGTGTCTTTGTGTGTAGCTGTCTGTCAGCCAGTGAGTGTTACACACGTGTGTGTTTGTGTTTGTGGGGCTTCTGGATTGAAGCTCCTATCTCTGGTGTGCAGCTGTGAAGCAGGTCGTTGGGACACATCTCCAGCCTGTAAATATAGAACACACACACATACACACAAGCACTGCCAAACCAGATTAACACCCAAATAAATCACCTTCAGAGATGCTCTGCTGAACATAAAGTAGAAGATCAGGCTAAAAAAAACCCTCTCTGTACTGTCCTCACCATCTTGGTTCTCTCTTAGTTAGTAGTGCCTTTTGATAAGTTAAGTTTGGTTACTCTGGGATGTTTCACTTTTGACAGACATCTGTTAGATGTTTGAATTTTTGCAATCTCTTTAAAGAAACTAAAATGTAAGTGCTGTTTTCAGCAGTCACCAGATTTGTGGCAAAAATGTGGCAAATACTAAAAAAAACTAACTAAACAAAAAGAGATAATATTTTGGTAATTCCTATTACTACGTATGTTTTAATATCCCTACGATATATTTATATGAGATAAAATAGGCTTATATATTTAAATGTAATGTAAATACCTTTAGACTTTAAAAGACCTTTAATGACATCACCCTCCAGGAAGTGACGTCATTTTGAAGGGAAATCAACAGCATAAACATGAGTAAGTATTAGCGATGCATTTTTTCATTCTCATTCCCTCAGCGAGCAGTAGTTCATTTCATAACTTGAGCTCTTTATTTATTCAAGTATAATGTAAGCTCAACTGAAATCAAGTTACAATTAATAAACTTTAAAGGCTATAAGAACATCCCAGAAGTCTCAAAAAAAGTGGTTGTATTCATCCCTCAACATGTGGGTTCTTTTGTGCTGCGTGTTTGGCAAATGCGTTACTTATTTGCCACGCTCATGGCATGCTTCTCGTTTTCCCGTTCATTGTTTTCTTTCACAAATCCGGCATGAATTTAAAGCCTGTGTAAATGCTGCATCTTGTGTTTGTGAGTTAAGAAATGTTTCTGAGGAATTTTCAGCACCAGTCTCTGATGTAATTACATTTTCTGCTTTTGTAATAGTAAGACTTTGCATGACATTTCAATATTCTTGGCTAACATCGGTGCTGTACATGGCTGATTAGCATACTATAACAAGAAAACATCAACAGTGCCTTTAACCATGCATTTGATCTTTTATGGGAACCAGAAATTGACAGAACCTGTATTTTAAACCTATACATGTAAGAATATAAGTTATATACTGTATAATGTTTTGCTTTGACGGTTAGATTTTGAAACGACATTACGTGAATAAAAGCATCAATAATTGTCAGGGTTTTGTCACAAATCCATCTTATAGTCAATATTTTACCAGTTGTTTTGGAGGACCTACCAGAGTTTAATACAGGTTTTTATAATGCTGATTTGCTAATGGAAAGTATTGGCAATTCACATCAAACTTCTAGAATTTGGGAGCGTGCTCATGCTACTTATTTTTCACTGTAATGGAGACCTAGAACATTACAGTTTAATTCAGGGTCACAACATTTTCAGACTCAAACTTCATATGTCTAATTCAACTAATTACTGCACCAAAATTACATTTCAACCATGCACAACTGATCACTTGGCTCTCTTTGAGTAAAGAATTTAAATTTTCAACTCATTTTTACGGTCGAGAGGTTAGTTAGTGAATGCACTGCGGCCAACTGATAAATTATGCTTTCCTAAATGAGATGTTTTAAAAATTGCTTTAGGAAAATAGGCTTTTATTTCATACCCGAGCACAGATGGTGTCAACCAGAATGAGAACTGGAAAATAAAACCGCTCACAATGGAATTAAATATGCTACACAGAGTGCCAGTGTTTAGTAGCTATAATCACACTTTACGCTTCATTACAAAATCCTGCACTTCTTTTATTGCATTTCCTCTTGTTGAATATTTGAAATAATTATAATTATTGTTAGATATCATGTATAGAAAAATTATTGCTCAACGTTATTTTACATGACATCTATACATGCATACATACAGTACTATAGTACAATAAGAACTATATTCATGCACTATTGTATTTACATGTTCATGTATAAATATGCATAGTGTTACCATGGTGCCATGTCCAAAAAACATGATATTTTTGGAGGCAGAAAAATATGTCCTCCCTTTCAGCAGATTGAGTGTGCTTCTCGATACAGTACTTTATTTTCAGATACATTGGTTTTGTGGAGGCTTCTGATCATTTGGAGGCAATAAGACGCTTTGCTCAGGTGAGGCTGTAGTAGGGGGAAAAATCTAAATAAAGTGAGAAATTTAGCATGGATTTGATACTACTGTACAAATTCCTCTTTGTTTGTAAAACAAATGCTGATATCACAGTATTAAAAAGGCATTGAGGTTTAACACGATTTGTGGTTTAAATATAATGCTGATTTGCTAATGGAAAGTATTGGCAATTCACACACAAGTCACAACATTTTCACAACATTTTCAGACTCAAACTTCATATGTCTAATTCAACTAATTACTGCACCAAAATTACATTTCAACCATGCACAACTGATCACTTGGCTCTCTTTGAGTAAAGAATTTAAATTTTCAACTCATTTTTACGGTCGAGAGGTTAGTTAGTGAATGCACTGCGGCCAACTGATAAATTATGCTTTCCTAAATGAGATGTTTTAAAAATTGCTTTAGGAAAATAGGCTTTTATTTCATACCCGAGCACAGATGGTGTCAACCAGAATGAGAACTGGAAAATAAAACCGCTCACAATGGAATTAAATATGCTACACAGAGTGCCAGTGTTTAGTAGCTATAATCACACTTTACGCTTCATTACAAAATCCTGCACTTCTTTTATTGCATTTCCTCTTGTTGAATATTTGAAATAATTATAATTATTGTTAGATATCATGTATAGAAAAATTATTGCTCAACGTTATTTTACATGACATCTATACATGCATACATACAGTACTATAGTACAATAAGAACTATATTCATGCACTATTGTATTTACATGTTCATGTATAAATATGCATAGTGTTACCATGGTGCCATGTCCAAAAAACATGATATTTTTGGAGGCAGAAAAATATGTCCTCCCTTTCAGCAGATTGAGTGTGCTTCTCGATACAGTACTTTATTTTCAGATACATTGGTTTTGTGGAGGCTTCTGATCATTTGGAGGCAATAAGACGCTTTGCTCAGGTGAGGCTGTAGTAGGGGGAAAAATCTAAATAAAGTGAGAAATTTAGCATGGATTTGATACTACTGTACAAATTCCTCTTTGTTTGTAAAACAAATGCTGATATCACAGTATTAAAAAGGCATTGAGGTTTAACACGATTTGTGGTTTAAAAATGAAATAAAGCCCAAGCCGACACGGCTTTATTGCAGAGAGAGGAAATTGTGCTCTCCTATCCCCTCGCAGTTCATTTGCAGTCATTCTCCACAAAATCAATTTTCAATTTCCTCCATGGGAAAGCACCTTGCTGCACGCGGCAACAGCCATGCTATTTGCGCTTCATTAGCCTAGCCCTACATTAGTGTTTTTTTTTTTCTGTTAAGATTGTGTACTTTAAGAGCAATTCTGAAATTTTTCACAGCTAACGTTGCATTACTTAAGTTAATGTCCACTGGGCGATGTTTCGCATGGGTTCTGAATTTCACTTAGTGCCAAGGCAATGTTAGCTAATGTTTTAGCCTAGAGTGCAATATACAAGCATTTACCTCTATGTGTTCTGTGTCTTTAAAGGGGTGTTTATTGAAGGTGAGTATCAATGGCTGTGACATGAATTGTTCTAATCTAATGTGCATTTTTGCAAATAAACATGGTAAGTAAGTAGTGACTTAGGAGATGCTTTTATTGAAGTGACTTGCAGTATAATTATTAAATGCAGCAACTCAATAAAATAAATGGTTGAAAGCATGCATCACTTTGAGAAAACTATCCTTTAGCATTGCTATTCATCTCAATGGCTCATATTTGATGAATGTCATGTAACTGATCACAATACAGTATGTGAAAACTCTTTGCAGCAGACTGCGAAATAGCTGAATGTTTGCATATTTATTTATTTATTTAATTTCCATTTATTGCAAAGAATGCATTTAGTCCAAATGCACAGCCTTTTTATTGGCTGTCAATGAAGAATCATATATTTTGCAATCATAATGGTATAGTTAAGATATTTACCAGCTGGACCAGCCAAACCTTGACCTCCTGCTTGGACTGTTTTTATTCAGGAAAAAAGCCACAACTAGCCTAATCCTCAATGGAAAAGGTGTTTCAATTCACATGCAACATTTTTTTTTAAATATTTAACATTGAATTGCAATTATGGAGAAACAGTGAATTCCTCAGATCTACACTACAATTATCTACAATAATTACATTATTGTGGCATATTCATTAAAAATATATTACAAAAAGCTTTAAAAGACAATTTATTGGCTTTTTTCAGAGGTTGCCATTTTGTCCATGTTTTGTACATCTTGACGTGCATTTCCCCTCAATATTTTGGATTTTGTGACCTGAACTGACATGTAGCGATTATTAACTCTGGCAACAACAGCAGTAAATAATAATAGTAAAGAATTAAAAAAAAAAAAAAACCTAGACAGAAAATGTCAAGTTCCCCCTCCTGCATTTACTTTTGCACGATTCTGTATGCTGGGATCCCTTGTTTTATTATTTTTATAGAGATAAATCAGCCTCTTTGTGCAGAAACTCTTGGTCGCAGTTCCTGCCTCATTTAGGTGCCGCTGGTACCAGTTTGCTGTAGAAGCAGCTTGTGGCAAAAGAGAGAGACAGAAGACAACAAAAGAGAAGTTCTTAATCCAGGGAAAGCCTGTTTTGCTTTGGAGTGGAACAGAGTAAGACATTTTTAGCACATTCTGGGAAGACGCTGCTACATTCTCAAAGCCTGACTAAAATAAGAATGCTGAGGTAGTGAAAGAGATGTTTTGAGTTTAATATAAGTGAAGCTCTATCAACATTCGTAGCAGGATTTTGATAATCATGGACACTCATTTTGAATGAATTTTCTGGTGCATTTTACTTAAAAAAAAAATTGTGGTTGCAATAATGGACTTGGAAGTAAAAATGTGCACATGAGAGTACAGAGGCATAAATATGTTTTTTTTTCTTGGTAAACAAGTAACTTGCTTCAAAACTGTTTTGATTCAGCTTTTTTGTTTGATTCCTAGCAATGGTCTCTTTCTGGTCTCTTTGCACGTATCATGCAAGAGCTGTCGGCTCTATGACATTGAAGTTGAAAGACTGGATGCAACTTTACCCAGACAAGGTCAGTAAGTGATTCTATCAAACTAGTCTGATGGTAACATTTAAAATCATTCCGTTTTTAAAGAGTGTGTTTTTGATGTTTGTCGTCTGACCCTGATTTCCATTCTTTTTGTAGACACTTGAAAGTATACACACACTGTATATAATCTTCAGATATCAGGTGTGTGAATTTAATTCTAATTTCCTTTAGATGAAGAAGAAAAAAAACAAGAAAAAACTTGACTAATTGTTTAAAAATCCAGAACAAACAGAATTCATTCAGACACTACAGAAATAAAAGGGTAAAATTGTAAACAACTTTTTAAAAAGGAAGGTTCTGGCTTCAGTTGCATTTAATTACATTATTTATGCTCTTTTCTAGGTCCTTCCTCTTTATCCAAAGCACATTATTTTCAAATTCACCCAGCCGATATCTGAAGAGCACAGTAAAGCAAAGTGCCTTTGTTAGAGCCTCAAAAGAACATGTGTAATAATTCAATTTGATAGATTTGTGGTTCGCTGGTACAATTAAACCCAGGTGATGTGCGTGACTAAAGATCCCAGCCTTTGTGAGCGTTTTCAGGAGGATCAGAGAAGGCACAGGTTGATCTTGGACCTGTCAGCCGAGTTACGCCATCAGCACTTCTCATTTATCTTTAATGGGCTCTCGCTGACACGGGTCCTGTCAGATCTGACTTCTCAGCTCAGTATTAGCTCAGCCACACTGTTTCAAAGAGAAGCAGGACCTGGTGTGTTTGATCAGGCCTGTCAGCCTGTCGGTACACAAGCGATGCAGGGCTCGACCAGGAGCGAGTTCAGAGGATGTGAGAGGAGTCAGACCTTCACCAGCCTGACCAAGCAGAAATTCAGAAAAAACTCTATACAGTAGTGGGCATCCCTATTTTTACCTGGTTTACCTGTCATACCTGTATTTTTACAGCATATGATTATTTATGTGCCTTCTAGCAGTTTTTGACATAATATATTTAATAAATAAACACTGCATTAAAGATGCACTCGAGGTGAGAAATATTCTATAGTGAAATATTAGTCATTTCGATTTTTTGGAATGTATATTTTCTACCCATCCATCCATCCATCTTCCATCCATCCATCCATCCATTCAATAGCATGTCATAACCAGTCTAAAATTACATTTGATTTTAATCAACAAAAATAACATTTCAATTGATGAAAAATGTATTGAGTGCAAAATTAAAACCAAGCATTTGGACAATTTTTATATTAGTTAAAAATATTTGAATATTTTAGCTTACAACTACAAACTGGCCTATCTTCACCAGCCAAGTTTTGACTACTCAATGGGTCAAGGGTTGACTATGGGCCAGTTATTCCCTGCTGGTTGTCATTTTATTATAATTTTTAATGCTTTCATATCTGTTACGATATGTATCATGCGTCTCAGAATTATTTCAACCTTACAGTGTCACATAAAACTGTAATCACACACCCATCTCTGTTTGAAATCCATCAGCGAACAAAAGCGAACGGTTAAACCATTTCACTTCAAACAATGGAACATAAACCCCACAAATACTCCCTATCCAAATCGATCCCTAGGAGCCGGCGAGTTGAATAGTTTTCATGTTTCAAAATGCATTGTACAGTGCTTCCCAACACCTCAATAACTGTGCAATCTTGCAAATTGCATCCAAAACGATTCTCTGCGGATGGCGTTTCTTCTAGTAAATCCATTCAATCAGCGAAGCCTTTAGCTGTCTTTATAGAATACTAATGAAACTCAACTTGTTAACATATAAATAAGAAACAAAATGGTGACAAATCATAGGTGTTTGTCTATACATCAGTGCACCGCTGGAACATCACACTGCGTGTTTCCTTGCTGCACAATCACCTTCTTCAACTCTTACTGCTGAGACAGTGGTCAGTGCTTCTGCCAGCTAATAAATATTTTGTTATGAAGCAAAAAGTTCAGGAACTTGGTAAAATAATCATTGGCATGCTGCAAAAAAGTGAATGAAAATACATGAACCCATCACGTCTGTTCTCCCAAGGATAAACTTGTCTTGTAGTGCCTTGGAGAATTGAGGTAGATTAGAAAAGTGCTATATAAATGTAACAAATTATTATTATTAATTGATGGTTTTCGAGCTGCCGTAGCTGCATAAATCCTGTCTGACATTCATAATTTATTATTTAAAACCTAGCAGTTACAATTACAGCCTGTATAACGCCGTTCTAAAATTCTGCGTTCTTTCCTCAAAGCTGTTGAAATGAAGTAGATGTTAACAATATTTCAAACTCCACCTTCCCAGGCTAGTCATACTTTAAAGAACTTAAACTACAGTCATTTCTAAAAGTATGGTTAGATGGACTACAAGCTACTCAAGAAACTTTGCTGGCTACATTGAAGCTAGGGAGATGAATCTAACCTTTTTTTTTCTTCTGTGAAACAAAAGATGAGATATTTTGATATTAAGTCTTTGTGTGAGGAACAGACTGAACTCTTCATTTTTCATCAATAATCTTCGCCTCAGTGAGCTGTTAACTCAAAATCTATGACTGGAATGAGTCACTCGGATTCAGATGACTCTAAAAGGATCATTCTGTCCGTTTTGGGAACAGCATAAACTGGTTCATTTAAAAGAATGTAGCGAATCAGCTCATGGG